AAAGCATATTCCTTAGGAGATAAGGATTACAACAATAAAGGGGATGATTATCCTAATCCTATAATGATTAGGATAACTACAACATATGGATAAACACAAGGGAGGATAGTGACTGATGCTTGGCCGCCTGGTATGGTACTGATGTGGTCTGGTCCATTTCCGGATATGTCCCAACCACCATCTTCATTTCTTAACAGTAGAGATATTTATTTAATTTTTAAAATAACGGGTGACCTATACGTTTAACCGTTTTGATTAAAGATACACGAAGAGTGGAAAACGCCAATTCTCCACACACAAAAAAAACTACGTTCTCTTCTTCTCTTATATGCATTCCTCTTTTAATTGTCTCGCATCAGTTCCATTACCATCTCTCTTTGATCTCCTTGCTCCTTCATCAAACCCATATCTCTTTCTCTGTGTAAATTCTCCCCTGAATTCGACTCTGTTTTTTCCTCTGTAACTGTAGCCAATTCGAAATTCTGGAAACGCTTCAAAAGAGTTTCGAATTCGTCAAAAAATTAAGGTTTTTTTTCTCTCTCTCTCTCTCTTTTTGTAATTTATTTTGTCAAAGTTGAAGACTTTGTTAGTTTCTGAACGTGTCTCTCGCTTTCACATTTTTCTGCTTTACTGTTTTTTTCTTTCTCATACTTGGCTAGCAATGTCTTAAGCTTCAAAGCACATGCCTTTGACTACCTTTTTCTCATTAAAGGTTTCGCCTTTACTTTTCTTTTCTGGAACAAGAAAATGGGTTTTAAATGATAAGGTTGAAACGAGAATTCTAGGGTCCCATGTCCTCTTGAAGTGAAACCTAGGATCTTGTCGGAAAGTTCGTTGCTTGATGTGTTTACTAGGTTTAAGCTTTTGAAAATTTTGGTTTCCCTTTCTGCTAGGTTTCAAGAGAATGACAACAGAGGAAAGAGATGAAGTCCCACGCTCTGTTAACAGCTCCAACTTCCGTGAAAGAATCAGAGAAATCAAGTGGGCTTCTCTAGCTAAAACGAGTAAGCAATGGCTTAGAAACCCACTCAACATGGCTCTCTTCTTGTGGATCTTTGTAGTTGCTGTCTCTGGTGCCATTCTCTTCATGGTTATGACCGGTATGTTAAACAGTGTTCTACCCAAAAAGTCACAGAGAGATGTCTGGTTTGAAGTTAACAACCAAATCCTCAACGCATTGTTTACTCTCATGTGTTTGTACCAACACCCGAAACGGTTTTACCACCTCGTGCTTCTCTGTAGATGGAAGGGAGATGATGTCACGACGCTTAGGAAGGTATACTGCGAAAAGGGGAGTTGCAAGCCTAATGAGTGGTGTCACATGATGGTTGTTGTTCTCTTGCTTCACTTAAACTGTTTCGCTCAGTATGCGCTTTGTGGACTTAACTTAGGGTTTAGAAGATCAGAGAGACCTCCTGTTGGTGTGGCTATTTGTGTTTCCGTTGCAATAGCGGCTCCTGCTGCTGCTGGTTTGTACACTATCCTTAGCCCTCTTGGGAAAGAGTATGATTCTCCTCAAGGAGATGAGGAGAATCAAGTGCAGGGTGTTAGTAATCGGAAGGTATCTCTTGAAAGGAGATATTCATTTGCTTCAAGAAATGAGAGTAGTCCTGAATGGAGAGGTGGAGTTCTTGATATATGGGAAGATATAACAGTTTCATACCTCTCACTGCTTTGTACTTTCTGTGTGTTTGGTTGGAACATGGAGAGGATTGGGTTTGGGAACATGTATGTACACATTGCGACTTTTGTTCTCTTCTGTTTAGCTCCTTTCTTTATATTCAACTTGGCTGCTATAAACATTGATAACGAGATGGTAAGGGAAGGGCTTGGATACACTGGGATTGTGCTTTGTTTGTTTGGTTTGCTATACGGTGGTTTTTGGAGGATACAGATGAGGAAGAGGTTTAAGTTGCCGAGTTATGATTTCTGTTGTGGGAGGCCTGCGGTTGCTGATTGTACGCTTTGGTTGTTTTGTTGCTGGTGCTCTTTGGCTCAGGAAGTCAGGACTGCTAATGCTTATGAGATTGTGGAGGATAAGCTTTGTAAAAGAAGAGAAAATGAGAGCAACGTTGATGAAGAAGATGGTGTCATGGATCCTAGTTGCTTGCCTGAGAAGATGGACACAAGGATGGCTAGTTCTTCTTCTCTTAGCCAGAGTAAACTGAAAGGTGATGAAGCTCTAAGTCCACCTTCTACTCCATTCATACACAGAGAAGCTACTTAGAAGTTAAATGTACGCTTTGGTTGGAGCTTTTTTGGTTTTGAAGGTAATAGTAAACATGTAAAAACCAGTTTTTACTATGGAACCGTTTATACGGTTCATGCATATCTTTAACTTCAAAATTCTAATGGAATTTTATCTTTTAAACATAGAGGACTTGTTTATTTTCTTGAGTACTAGTTAGATTAAAATTGATTTTTTCAGGATTTCTGTAAACAGTGAAGATTTTGCTGTCATATTCACATACCTTTCAAGAAATACACGTTCATGCATATCTTGACTGTTCTAACCAAAAAAAAAAATACATATTCATGCATATCTTTACTGTTCTACAAAAAAAGATACATATCTTTATTTAGCAATTGATCTTTTCACTATAAATTAAGAGTCATTAACCTAGTGAATTACTCAGCAACTCAAAGCAAAATCAAAGAAGAGAAACAAAAAAAAAACACTATCGAGGAAAAGAAAAACATGTCTACTTCTACAAAAAAGAATAACATTTCTCTTGTTTTTGTTCTTGTAATCATGATTATCATGACTATATCAGGGTTTATTGAAATGGGAGAAGCGAGGAAACTAAATGAGAAACGTTCTATAGGATACGGAGCAATTGGATCAGACAATGTACCAAAATGTACTCCGAAAGACCCAAATGCAGCTGGTTGTAAGAAAACTCCGGCTAATGTATACAATCGAGGCTGCAGCGTTGCTACCAGATGTGATCATGAAAAGATTTAGTCAAGAACAAAAGATAATCTATCTTTTAATCTTATTTATTTATTCTCTTGTTATTCACTTGCTATGTGACTAGGTGAGTGACTAACTACTACCATTATGTTTCTAGCTGTTCCACATTTTTTTCGTTTATGTTTCCTACACTATGTATTTGTGTCTTCGATGTTTAGTATTTAATCTATGCATTTGTTTTGTGTTGGGTTCCATAGCTTCAAACTGAAATGAAGTTTCTTGTCCAAGTATAACACATTTTTTAGTTCAAATTTCTGATTTTTTTTACAGTTCATGAAAGGCAAAATGAAAAAAAAAAGCTGGCAAATTACTTCCATAAACATTGTTGAAAAAGTCCAAAAGATAATATTAATACACCAACATAGAGTTAATCTAATGGTAAAAAAATTGTGATAGTAACTAATACCTCTTAGATTTAATTTACGGTGGAAATGATTATTTATAATGTTTAAGTTTCCAACAAAAAGATAAAACTATATTTTTATTCAAAACGAGTTAGTTTGGAATTAGTTTGGTGGTGAAGATTGCAAGTACGGCTTCCAGATTTGATTTTCACTGGTTACTAGACATTTTACATGTGTTATCTTCGGTGTTCTAGATAAAAAATCGTGTTCACTTAACTAGTACTCATTTTCAGATATGCGTCAATGCAAGAATTTATCACTGGATTACTTTAGTGGAACATGATAATGTTTTTATTGGCTGCTATTCCAAAAATAAAAATAAAATAAAATAATTAAAATGATCCCTTTTGTCTAAACAAATATTGAAAAACCCTAAAAATTGGGTGAATGGGGAAATCGATCCTAACTACAGTCAGATTCACAGAGTTCGCAATAAGACTCTCTTCCGAGAATCCAACCAAACGGAACAAAGTCTTCGTCAAGAAGAAGACGAGAGAGACGACAAAGCTCGACGGTCACTCCAATCTCGTCAAGCTGGAGAAGAAGGCGGGATCGCACTCGGGTTCTAATCCCGCTCCTCCGGGTTCGGATCCAAATCGGGTTCCCCTTGCTCAGGTCGTGGAGGATTGCGTGAGGCGGTGGTTTCAAGATACGCTCAAGGAAGCCAAATCGGGAGACGTTGGTATGCAGGTCTTGGTTGGGCAGATGTATTGCAGTGGCTATGGGATCCCTAAAGACGAACACAAGGTTCTCTCTTTTTCGGGTTTTTCGATTGGGTTTGGGTCTAATTTTGATGGGTTTAGTTTAGTTTTCGCAATTGTTATCGAAAGTTTCGTTCTTGGTGGCTTTGTTAATGGTTGGTGATTGGTAGCTAAGATGAACACAAGGTTCTCTCTTTTTCGGGTTTTTCGATTGGGTTTGGGTCTAATTTTGATGGGTTTAGTTTAGTTTTGGCAATTGTTATCGAAAGTTTCGTTCTTGGTGGCTTTGTTAATGGTTGGTGATTGGTAGCTAAGATGAAGTGTTTTGCTGACTTTTGTGTTTTGATGTTTGATCATGTGGAAAGGGTCGTGCTTGGATTAACAAAGCTTCGAGAACTAGATCATCAGCTTGGCAAGTGAGTGATAAGCCTCCAGGTAATGAGTAATTTGTTTGCATCTCAAGTAATGTTCTTAGATTATGAATGGTTAAGTATTTGTTCACTGTGAGTGTTTTCTGTTTTTTTTTTTTGGTTTCAGGTTATAATGCAAGTGATTCAGATTCCAATGATAAGAAAGAATGATGATGATGACCTTTTGAATGTTTGTAATCCAGTGTCTTTGATTTGTTAGTTTCTCTCTCCCCCCTCCCTTTGGTTTAATCTTCTTGCTATATTCATATTTTGAAGCTTTGTTATCTCATTTGAATGGTTTATAAGATGGCTAAGTCATTATTATCTTTGTCATTGTCATTATTACCACGCAATGAAGTTATTTAACTGTAGCTGAATTCACTGTACTATCCCTAGGTATTGCCATTTATTTATAGATCTTTGTGTCCCCCCCCCAAAGCAGAATCAAAATTAGTTTTCATGTTTGCAAAAGAGTATCAATAGTTGAGGGAATCAGTTAGACCACCTATATTTCTTCTTTCCAGATTTGGAATCTACACTCTTTTTTGTGGATTTGAATGAAAGGTAAAGATAATTAGCCAACTGTATGCATAGTTGTAGGATGTATCATGAATTCTCTGTTTTCCAAAATTCACATAAGCTTCTATTTAAAAAAACGTTGATTTGGAATCTTCTTGCCCAGAGTAACTCAGCTTCTATTTCCTTGGACATTCAAGTATTCATAGGGTATAGATCTCTAACCATCGTTGTAAGCATAAGTGACATTAATAGCCATATGCAATTCATAATACGGACTGGACTAAATAAGCCAAATGGCAGGAGTAGGTATGTCCAAACATAGATTGTTTGAAAATGCTGATGTAATGATCAGTTTTTAGCCTTTTTAGGTAGAAGGATTGAATAAAGTGAGAAAAGATGAAACGGACGGTCGAATGAAAAAGGAATAGACTTTTGATCTCTCCATGTCGAAAACGCGGCAAGCAGAAAACAATTTTATATGCGAGTGGAGGCCAGTGAGGCTTTCTCTGTTTACAAACTCTCCTTCTTTTACGCAAAGAATCCCATTCTTCTCTCTTTTTGTCATTTTACGACATAGAATCATATATTTATATGTTGGTGATCCTTCTAGTTTCTCGACAACAAAAAACCTTCACATAAACTCTGTTTTTCTCTGCACTTAAAACTAGTAGAAGCGAATTTCAAGGAACTGCGTGAAGCCATTTTATTCCTCAAGAGTTTGCCTGATGACTAATGTAAGTGAGATCTTCAACATGTGTTTGCTTTATTTCATCAAGCTTTTCGAGTAAGAAAACCGAACTAAAGGTTACTCCTAGTAGAGTGTGGTTCTTTTCAAATTATGTATGATGCAAGTAGTTTTAAGATTTTAGAGTGAACTGTTATATGGATCAACACTTGCGATATTATGATTATTGGAATTATATTTTTGACAGAAAAATTCTTGATGATCGACAGGTTGTGGAGATGAAGGTGAATTTGCATTGCGACGAATGCATCAGGAAAATACTGAAAGCCATAAAGAAAATAGAAGGTAACGATTGTATAACCCTTTCTACTAGAGTTCTTGTGGATTAATATGGTTGATTAAATAGTAATGATAATAATAGAAGATGAATTTATAGATATAGAGACATACGATGTGGACACACAGCTCAATAAGGTGACGGTGACTGGGAATGTAACAGAGGAACAAGTCATTAAGGTTCTTCAGAAGGTGAGGAAAACTGCTGTTAGATGGGACCAAGCCAATCAAACCCTCTTTGCCAACTAGAGTCTTGAGCATAGTTAGGTGACTCTATATGTACTTATGCTCAGTTTTGGCCGTTGTTTTCATGCATCTGTTGCAGAACGCACGATAGACTATATATTGTACCGTTTGTATGCATACTAATAAAATGAGATTTAGATCATGTCTTTCAGAAACTTTATTCAACAAACTAAATTGACATTCAGCAATTGCATTCTGGAGATCAAACCTTCAGGGAATTGTTACAAAATAAACAAATTTATTCAACAAAAACGCAAGGAAACAACTTTTCCACGAGTGTTGCAAAAACAAACTGTCTTTTGGAAACTGAAAAACGAAGAAAGAATTATTGGTATTCTTGTAAGCAATCAGAACACATCTCCATGCTTAGAACCTGTGCTCCAGCTTCTCTTTTTCTTGGTAGTGTTGAGCATACCTGTTCATTCATTTGCAAACCAAAAAAGTGAAAAATAAGCACTGGGAACAAGAACAAATGATTGAGAGTGTATGTTGCACATCACACAAGCAAAGTTAGTTCCACAAAATCAATACCCTGTAAATCTGTGTGATCCAGCTTTGGTTCATTACATAGACGCAGCTACTAATCTCAACAGAAAGAATATTGACAAGCTAATCTACTACTACTACTACCACCTCAACGATTCGTATAACAATAAGAACTAAGAAATCAACTGTTTCATTAAACCTCTTGCTATTATCATAATATTATACACCAATACATCCGATTTCTTCATAAATTAATTAAACCTGTGAATCTGTGATGCAGCTATGGTTCATCACATAGACACATATTAATCATCTCAACAGAAAAGTGTATTGACAAGCTAATATAATAACACAATATTACTACCTTAACGATTCGTATAGGCGATTTCTCCATGAATCAATAACCCTAAAACTATTTGAGTTACCATTCCCAATCAAACCAACAACCTAATGGAATCTATCGATATCGCCTAACAATCAGATTATAAAATCATCAGATCCATTATTTCCATACACAGATCCATCGATTGATTGATATATAGAGAGATAAGCGTACGAGTAGGTTCCGATGACGGGAGCGAGGAGGAGAATAGTGCTGATCCAATTCTCAGAGACCTTATGGTGGATCTTCTCCGGCAGATCCTTCCATAGACCAGTCATGATCTTCTGCTGAAACGGAGACAAAGCGTAAACCACCGCCTTCAATTTCACCGGCTGCTTCCCCATTTTCGTCTTCTTTCCTCCACCAATGACCTTTCGTGCCGGCTATAAGAGGCGTATCAGCTTCAAAACGCTGTCGTTTACCGTTATACTAGGCCTGAATTGTTTTTATATTTACACAGGCTTTTAAAACTGGGCCTTTTATCTTAAAAGGCCTCGGATTCTTTTATCGAGGAATGTACGTTGGTGTAATCCACGTGGACGGTGGAGATTCTTTAGTGAGGTTGTTAACATCAAATCATGACGTTGCTTCAGAGAGAGAGATCAAAATAACCGTAACAATCAAACGCGTCTCCGTTTCCACCCACGCGCCATCTTCGTTCCCAATCTTCCCCACGCGCATCCGTGTGATGGCGAATCCGCCACCGTTACCGATCTCAGACCACTCCAACGGCTCCCAATCTCATCCCCCCGTCTCCACACCAGCATTCCGCACCTTCCTCACTCGCCTCACCGCCTCGATCCGCCAAAGCCTATCTCAGCGACGTCCATGGCTCGAGCTCGTAGATCGGAGCGCGATCTCGCGGCCAGACTCCCTCGCCGACGCGTACTCTCGGATCCGGAGGAATATACCTTACTTCAAGGTAAACTACGTGACGATCGTCTCCCTCGTCCTCGCGCTCTCCCTCCTCTCCCATCCCTTGTCTCTCCTCGTCCTCCTCTGCCTATTCGCCGCGTGGATCTTCCTCTACCTGTTCCGCCAGTCAGATCAACCGCTCGTCGTCCTCGGACGCACGTTCTCGGATCGCGAAACGCTCGCGGTTTTGGTTATCTTGACGATCGTCGTGGTGTTCTTGACCAGCGTCGGATCTCTGTTGACCACTGCGTTGATGATCGGTTTTGGGATCGTGTGTTTACACGGCGCGTTTAGAGCTCCCGAGGATCTTTTCTTGGATGAGCAGGAGCCTGCTAATATTGGATTGTTGTCTTTCCTCGGTGGAGCCGCTACGTCCGCCGCGGTTTCCGCCGCTTCAGCTCCTATGTCGTCAGCTCGTGTTTGATTTTGGCGAAATACAAAAAAACAGTTTCTTCTTCGTAAACATTTTTCTATGATTCGTTTTATTTTTGTTTCTATTAAAGAACAATAGAGGGGAATGTAGTTTTTGATCTTCTTGGTTAATCAAGATTCTGATTTTTTTTTACCTCACCATTGTTGAACATGATTCGAGTATGTAATTCATTTGACAGTTTTCGCATTACTATTCTTTGCTTGTGAGTTGTGACATCGTTACTAGTTTTCTATGGTGTTGTTAGATGCAAGAAGATGATTAAAACTCGAATTACTATATAGTATTAGGTTTAAGCCTCTTGTGGTATGGATCGAAACATTATCAGACCTTGCTTTCACGGTTTTCACCATAAACAAACACGTTAATGGTAATCGCTTTAGATATCTCTTGTGACACTCTTCTGTTATTTGGTTCTTCACGAAATTTCTTGGTTTCTAGACAATTAATTCATTTGCAAGATGCAATTTATTTCTTGTTATTGATTATAATGATATATAACTTCATGTCTTGTGGTTTTACTTTCGTAGTTGTTTACAAGAAAAAATACAAATTCTATCCAATTAAGTAGTTTTTAATAATAAAGGTTGTTTTCTGCAATTATTACTAGAGTGATTTAGTGTATTGCCCCAAATAGAGGCCCAAATTGGCGAAGTACCCATTGATTGACAGTTAGGGCCCGAGACATACCCTAACCATTGCAAAAAGATGGAACTAACCTCGCACGAAAGATTTGATCTTCGGCGCTTGTGTCAGTCGACTGACACAAGATATCCACGCCGATTCTAATAGCTGCCTAACCTACTCTGCAACCTAGGACGACTTGTGTGCAATTAAAACACGTTTCCTTGGTTATCCGTGATTTATGTTTAAGCGCAACATCCTAAGCTACCTTGGAAAAGTTAAGTGNTTCTAATAGCTGCCTAACCTACTCTGCAACCTAGGACGACTTGTGTGCAATTAAAACACGTTTCCTTGGTTATCCGTGATTTATGTTTAAGCGCAACATCCTAAGCTACCTTGGAAAAGTTAAGTGTACGTAATACCATACTAATTTGAAGATAAAAGAAGGTTGAGTTGGGTAACACTTTAGTTTTCAGAACCAAAAAAACTGTGGGAGATAGAGGGAGAACGAAAGCTGTGATTTGGTGTTTGTAGAAGATAAACTCAAGAGACAGAAATCGTTTTTTCTCGTGTTGTAAGTTGTAAGCTTTGTCTATATATCCCACCAAGGAAAGGTTTTTCTATATCCTTAAAAGTTTTGAGTTACTGATAAATGTAATGTTACACCGTAACAGGTTTGGAAGATGAGGCACCAAGTTCGTGTCGTCGTTGGGGACTGGGAACGAGGCGCTCAAGGAGCATGGAGGTTCAACGTGGATAAAACCATGATAGTAGCTGACGTCGAGCTTAAAGAGAACGAGAGTTACATATCACTTGTTGGTATGGTGAGGGAAAAGTTCAACGTAGACCCACTGTATGGAGTCAACGCCCCTGTGTTGCTGACTTACCACTACCCAGACCTAGAAAAAGAGCCGGAGGAATACTCAGCACCACCCATCGAAATAAAGGAGGACGAAGACGTGGCTGTGTTCATGGCTGTTAGGGTTGACAATGTGTGGCAGGAGCTGTATGTCACATTGGGTGGAGAGGATGTCTACAACTACCGGAGGCAGAGGGAGGTGGAAGATGGAATGACAGCTTCCGAACAACTAACACCGGCGCGCGGGTTAGTGAGTATTGAAGGTAAAGTAACAT